TCTCTCAGTATATATATTACATGTTTCTTTCCTATACATTTTTTCACAACATGTGTCATACTATAGTGGAGATCTTTCTATATTAGCATATAGAGATCAACCTCCTTCTTCAAGAGGCTAAGTAGAATTCCAAGGATAGATGTTCCAAATATTATTTATCTAGGCCTCTGTCTATAAGCATTTCAATTATTGCAATTTTTTTTTTCTGGTGAGGAAGATTGGCCCTGAGCTAACATCTGTTGCCAATCTTCCTCTGTTTTGTATGAGGGACGCTGCCACAGCATGGCTTGATTAGTGGTGTGTAGGTCTGCGCCCAGGATCCAAACCAGTGAACCTGAGGCCACCGAAGTGGAGCGTGTGAAATTAACCACTAAGCCATCAGGCTGGCCCCTAAATTATTTCAATTTTTGTTATAAATATTGCTGTAATAAACATTCTTGTACCTATCTTGGCATATTTTTATGATTATATCTATAGGATATATTCCTAGAAATAGTATTGCTGGGTCACCTTTCAAAATGCCTGCACCAATTTGTACTCTCACCCCCAGTAGGAGAGTGAGTATTTTTCTGTCAACACTACTGGGCCTTATCACACATTAAAATTTTTGCCAATACTCAATAACATAGAAGAAAAATGGGATCTGTGTTTGTTTTGATTTGCATTTTAAAAATTATTAGTGGAGTTGAGCTTTTTTTCCTCTCTTTCTCTGTGACCTGCTTATTCTTATCCTTTACCCATTTTTCTATTGAGTTCTTTGTCTTTTTCATGCTCATTGGTATAAACTCATAGTAAATTAGAAATTTGTCCCCAGTTTGTCACATGTGTTGCAGATATTTCCCCCACTTTGTCATTTCCTTTTTTACTTCATTTACGGCCTATTATGCTATGCGGATGTTTTTAATTTTGCGTGTTCAAATTTATCTTTATTTTTCTTCCTGATTTCTGAGGGCATTAGTTTTATAATTAAAAAAAAAAAAATTCAAGTTGCTTGTGTGTGTGCGTGTGTGTTTGAGAGAGAGAGAGAGAGAAGCGAATCAAACACATAACAATAAAAGCCCATTAAGGGAAAGTCTATGGCACCAAACCATTCCCTGGGGATATCTCTACCTCCCGGGCCATGAGGCTCAGAAAATCGCATGATCAGTGGCTTCAGTATTTGCAAAGGAGTAGCTTAGGACAGCAGTCTGGTTGGACAAGCCAGTCAAGGAGTTTGTCTTGAAGCCTCTTTTGCATGCCAAGTCCTTCCTTTTACTGAAAGTTTCAAGATTTATTTTTCTCTCTCCAATGGTCAACTAACTAGTCTAGTGATAATTTTTTTCCTATGAACTAAGCAGCCTAGGGATTATAAGTGTGTGTGCGCACATGCACACATCAGCATGTACTTCAAGTTTTTCCTTCTTTTTTTCTTCCTATTTTTATAATTAGTCTTTACTTGTAATAGCTTGGGGGACATTGAAGATGGAACTGGATCCTCTCTAAAACACACCCTGTTTCAAGCCACTCATTGCCTCTGTGTCTTGGCAAGCACCACCCCATGCTGGGGCCGCCTCCTGAGTCATTCTGTCCAGCCCAGAGCACACTTGTGTCTTCCCAGAAATATCCTCGAATAGAGCAGTTCAGAACAGGGCATGGGAACTGGCTGGAGCTTGTAAATCCATTCTCCTCCTTCTTCTTGGCACGAAGGCGCTAGAGCAGCCCAGGTCAGCACAGGACAACCGAGAGAGAGAAAATCCAGCATTCCCTGAGGAGCAGCACAAGGTCCAAAGGACCTCCTCTGTCACATTAAATACAAACCATTTGAAAAAACAGGAAAAGATACTGGGGTGGGGGGGCAGTGAAAAAATTCCATTCTAAACAAACAAACAAAAATATCCTGCTCTAGCTCTCCTTTTCACACGGGCATATGTCAGTGATTCTTCATTTCACAATTGTTCAGTGACTTCCGTGGACTGAATTTCACTCTTCCCTCCTTAAAACGTGTCCCTGATCTCGTTCTCTAGTTTCTCTTCCTGTCTGGGCATTCCTATGATGAGCTCCCCATTTGTCTTTTCTTTCTCTTTAGGCCAGTCTTACAGCATCCTACAACACTATCCATTTTTAAATGATCTTTTCTCAGTCATATTTAGTGGCCCTGGCTCTGCGACGTAACTAGCAAAAATGACACAAGCTTTGTACAACCAGAAAAGACTCCCTTCTTACTCTGACATCAAGGAAGTAGGTTGGATCAAGCAATGGTGGGGGTGATGGGTCGGGAGAGTTACTTCCTGCATCCTCAGTGCCCAAAGGCCCCTCTGCCTCGATGCCTGGGCCTTATCTGCTCAAGGGTCATTGACCCCGATGGGGACCAGGTATTATGAAAAGCAGGTTCTGCCCATCCCCATCCTTATCATCTCATCAACTCTAGATGACCTGGGAGCTTCGCGGACGCCTTAGGCTGAGCATTCCTTGGGGCCAGGCCTGTTCTTGCTCAGCATCTAAAGACAAATAGTGACACATGGTTTCTGTCTGTCCAGTTTTTCCTAATAGTCCTTCAGTCTCCGGAGTGGAGACGCTGCCTTTGTGTGGGTTATTAGTAAGGAAAGCTAGGAGCCAGATCCAACCCCCCTTCACACTGGTGAGTCAAGGGCTGGGCCTTTGATTTAGACTCAGCCAACCAAATGCTCTTCCGTTGGTCTTGGAACCTTGAGAGGAAGGCAGGCAAACAAGGGTGACTGCAGTATCACCAGGGCTCACAGAGTGGGCAGGCCAGACTGTTTCTACTAAGATTGTTGCTGTGGTTTTGGTGGCCTTATCCTCTCTTTCTTTGTTCCCAACTGTTTTCAAGCCTGATCCTTCATCTCCCACTTACTCTGTGAGTTCCCTGATACTCTTTCAATAAGTCCCTTTCAATTAAGTTAGCCAGAGTAGTTCTCTGAAGCTTTTAACCAGGAATGCTTACTGGTAGAACAGAGCCTGTGTCACCCCTGTGGTTTGGCTGATGGAGAAAGGAATCACTTAGAGGAGCAGCCCTACTCACTGAACTGGGCTGTGTTTCTAGGCTTGCCTGCTGTCCCAGGCTGGTCTTAGGGCACTGGCTTGGCTACCAGAACTATTATGCCATGAATTGGTCTTAAATGTGACTTACTCTCTGTCTCAAAGTGGCACAGTTGACAGTGGCCAGGACCAGCTTCCCAGAGAATCAGGCACAGGGCAGAGATGGCTGGCTCCAGGATTCTCCTGTGACAAGATAGTGCCAGTTTCTTGTGGTCGAGGGTTGGCTTGGGATACAAGCAGAGGTAAATGAACTCTTAGGCTGCTAGAAAGTTTCAACAGTGCCCCGGCAACCAAACAAATCTTTTCCCTTTTGTGTAAATTTCTATTCCTAGTCAGGGTGGAAATGTGGAGAAACAAATCTTTTTTAATGCAAGATCATCCCCAAGAATTATCACCCTCAATCATTTTGCAGATCTCACTCTCTAGGAATACTGGCCACTGGAGGGGTGGTGGCCTGGAATGCTGCATCCTGGCGCTTGGTACAGACTTGCCAGGCTGGCCTCGAGATGGTGCTCTTTGCATGTGGTCAGTTTGGGCTAACAAATTAAGATGCTACCAGGGATGTAGCACTCAAGACCTGAACTTCAATTTGCATCTTTATACTTGGATTAATTAAAGGAGTTAATTAGTGAAAAAAGGGTGAAATTCAAATAATCTTTGGAGTGGTGTAGAGAACTTTCTAAGAATGACACAAAACTCAGAAGCTATAAAAAGACAAGATTGACGAATTTGATGGCACAAAAATGTCAAATTTCTATATTAAAAAAACAGCAAAAAAATGAACAGCAAACTGAGAAAAATAGTAGCAACTTCTGTGACAAACAAACGAATAATTTTCTTAATATACAAGGAGCTCTTACAAATAAATTCAATTTAAAAATGGGAAGAAGATATGAACAATCAGGTCATAGAAACGAGATTAAAAACACCAATAAATATGAAACATTTCTTACTCATGAAATGAAAATTAAATTTTAATGAAAATGAAATGAACTTTAAAAATGAAAATTAAAACAACAAAATGTAGCCGTTTGTGTGTGCCTCCAATAATTGCTCTGTACAAACATACACAATTGTTCTATCACAGACCACTGAGAGTGTCTTTCTCTCCACTCCTGTATTTCCCTCTTGGGTTTCCAGGCGGTTTCTCACCTGCTGTCATACAGTGTCGAGGAACCGTTTCTTCAAGAGCACTAACCATGGGAACACCATTACAGAGGCCGATCTTCCCCTCTCACCTCCCAGTGCTGAGATTGACAACAAGCAATACTGTGACAAGTACTAAAATGGAGACGTCTACCAGCTGTGCTCGGCGCGGTGTCTCCGCCTAGGCAGGTGATGATGGGGCAGGCTCCATAGAAGAGGAGATAGACAGAGAAGGGGAGCTCCGCAGCAGAAGGGGCGGGACAGGGCTTTCCTCCAGCCGCAGGAACACCACGTGCGAAAACAAAGGGCTGTGGGAAGGCCAGGTGCGCGGGTATACCTGCAAGCTGGGGGAGGGGGCCGCCTGGGCGATGAGGGGCTTTTCTTGTGCGGATTCCTTTCCAGTTCAGGGACTGCTTTCGGATGTCGAGGGGCCTAACAATATTACTTGTCACACGGTTCACAGCTGAAAAAGACCTTCAAGTCCCTCCATCCAACTTTCACTTTTTATAGATAAATATACAGAGGCCTTAAAGAAGTGAAATAACCTGTCCCAGGTCACAGCTCTGGCCAACACTGGGGACCTGACGGCCTGTCCGCGGACTTTCCTGCCTCTGGGGCTCAATACTGCACGGGCTATCAACCCAAAACTCCGCTCCCTGGCCGCTGGTCCGGATCTTCTCGGTGGACTACATTTCCCACAATGCCTCCGGCCCAGCCTCCCTCCGCCGCCTGGCTGGGGGCTGTATCGGCCAGTAAGAAAGCAGAGTTTCCCGGGGCAGTTCACTGCGGCCAATGAGCGCGGCGGGGGGCGGGCCTCTCCCGTCCATTGTTCTCGGTGCGCCTCGGGCTGGAGCCGCAGTGAATCCGGAGGGGCCGGGCTGTGCCCGGGGGTGCTTTTGCACGCGGAGCGGCCACGGGAGCAGGCCTGGTCTCCTGAGAGGTGAGCCCAGAGAGACGGGCCTGCAGCCGCGCGGGCCAGGCGGGTAGCCCGAGGCGAGGGAATAACGGGCCTGGAGCCAGTGCGGGCAGCCGTACTGGGGGAGGGGCGTCGGGGGCGCTGTCCGCTTCCCGCGGGCCCGGGCGGCCGGGGTCTGCGCGACCGGTCCGCTCAGCGAACGGACCCGGACTCTTCTCCCGAGCGGTGAGCTCCTTGCGCCTCTGCCCAGGGGCGCAGGGTTTGCGCTGGAAGGCACGTTGGACAACATCCCGCGCAGCTCCTTATTTTCCAGATGGGGAAACTGAGCTTCAGAGGGGGCGTGTCTGGCCCCGGGTTAGACGGCGAATTAGCTGACTAGGAACAGTTTTCCCGGGCTCCCAAATAAGAGTTCTGTTGTATCTGTTTTGCTTTTTTGTTCTTTTTTTTTAAAGTTTTTCCTTCCCTTTTTTCCTTTTTTCCCTTTTTTGGGGGGAGGGAGGTTGTTACTTGAGTCTTTATAAAATGTAGCAGTGAGTTTATAAAATAATTTTTCCTTGCTTTTATAATCTTTATTTTAAATAGTTTGTAATTTCACTGCTTTCAACATTTTGTAGAATTTATGTCCAGGTTTTTTTATTTCCTTGTGTATGTGTTCATTTTTAAAGAGAATTGGGGTCGTATTGTGTCTATGGTTTTTCTGCCTTGCTGGTTTTGTTTTTATCCATAATTTTCATGTGATGAGGATTATCGTAAATCATTAATGATTAATAATCTTTGTCAGCATAAGTTTTAAAAATATTTTAGAAATACATACCGCAGAGTGCACAAATCTTAAATTTCATATGTATGCTCTTGTGTAACCATTGTCAAATCAAGATATAAAACAATTCTGGCATCCCAAAAGGCTCCTTTGAGCCCCTTCTTAGTCAGTACCCCCCAAAGATAGCCATTATTACATCAGCGTAGTTTTTAATACATTTTACTGTATGGATGTGCCATAATTTATTAACCATTCCCCTGCTGCTGGGTTTTAAGGTATCAACTTTTTTGCAATTAGAAACAATGCTATGGTTGTGTGTCCTTGCAAATAAATTTCTCTTTGCAAAGATGGTTATTTTTAAAGATAAATTCCTGAAGGACCATGGCTGGATTGAAGAGTATGAACATTTTAAAACTTCATCATTTAAATATGGTAATAATGCAGTTGAGATAATGCCTTCCTTCCAGTGAGGCTCAAAGTGCCTTGACATCTGATCCATTGCTAATCCTTAAGATGTCCCCATAAGATAAGAAGAATGTTGTTATTATATCTACTAGATGGTCAGTGAGGTTGAGTGACCGAGTTGTGTGTTAGGTCAGGTCACTCACTCTGCAGACTTAGGGCAGGATAACTCAGTCCTGTGTCTTTTGAAAAGAAAATGCTGTATTTTTTGTGCTTGTGATTCTTCTTAACTTCTCTTGCCATAAAGAGATACGTTTTCAGAATAAGCCATTTTTCCTTTAAGAAGGACAGGAAGCTTGTGTTGATTTGTGGATGCAGGAACCACTTGGTGGCCTGACCTGGGCTGCTGTGGGTTAGATTGTTTAGGACAGTCTCCTTGTTGATTCTCGTTCTCTTTCTCATTTCTCAGCACATTACTTGTTGAAATTTGAGAAGGGAGGTGTCTTCTCAGAGAGCCTGGCTGGAGGAGACTGAAGTTCAAGGCTAGAAGCCTGAGTGATTGGCTGAAGAACTGGATGATGGCTGCAGAGGTGCCGAGAGTAACCACTCCGCTGAGCCCTTTGGTCCAGGTGCCTCAAGAGGAAGATGACCAGGAGGAGGAGGTCACCACCGTGATCCTGGAGGACGACTCCTGGGTGCAGGAAGCTGTGCTGCAGGAAGATGGCCCTGAGTCCGAGCCCTTTCCCCAGAGTACTGGCAAGGGCAGCCCACGCGAGGAGGTGGCTGGAGGACCACAGGGTGCACTCGGCCGCCTTCGAGAGCTCTGTCGGCGCTGGCTGAGGCCGGAGGTGCACACCAAGGAGCAGATGCTGACCTTGCTGCCAAGGGAAATTCAGGCCTGGCTGCAAGAACATCGGCCCGAAAGCAGCGAGGAGGCAGTGGCCCTGATGGAAGACTTGACCCAGACCCTTCGGGACAGTGGTGAGATGCTGAACCTCCTAGGGAGAGGGTGGGAGCATCCCTCAGCAGTGGAGGAGGGTGTTTGTAGAGGAGGAGAAGGTGGTGTCCAGGACAGCGTTGGGGACAGCCCCATGTCTCTACTCTGCAGGCAATCAGCACATCGTCACCCTTTTTAATGCCCTTGTTGTGTGCAGTTACAGTTCCAGAATTTCAGCATGAGAGGGGCTGAGAGGACTATTCTTGGAGCTACATTTGCAGAGTTAGCATAGTTTTTACTTCTGTTTATTTGGAGTCTCTGGGAAGCTGATGGAGGTTATGGGGGAGAGGCTGAAGACCCTATAAACTACCCCTTAGAACCTTTACTTGGTCGTGCAATAAACATCCAAATATTTGAGGAGTTCTAGCAATTAGAAAAACCAAGTCCTATTTTTAAAAAGTGATTATTTTTATGAAACCAAGATAAATGGTGAGTGAACCAGCTAACTAGGGACTTCCTGTGGTATAAAGTCATCCTGGGTTCTTAAAAGAGTAATTTTAAATTTGAGCTCTTTGCAACAGTTAATATATTTTTCTCCTGGGTTATTAGTATGTTGTGAGATCCAGCCATGCCATTTTACTACCCTGTCTCCATTCCGGGCTTTAGTTGATTACCAAACATTTACTTCAGGTCTACCTGTGCCCCTAGGACTGCTTCAGAACCCATGGGAAATGGCTGCCTTTGTGCTGATGAGAAGTGCAGCAGTTCAGAGAAAGGGATGGGGAGAGGAGATGATTGGTCAGATCCTCACGGAGGATCTGAAACTTGAGCAGGAGGTGAAGGCTGGAGGAGAATTTGGAAAGGTGCAGGGCAGGAGGAGGGTGAGGCAGCCAAGGCTCGGAGGGGGTTGCCCAGCGTAGCTCCTTTGTACAGGTGACAGTAAGGAAGGCAGGCTAATTGGAGTGGAGTGTGTTTTTAGGAAGTGGTAGGAAGTAGTGTTTGGGGGAAGGGTGGGTGGAAGCCTGGACTCAGTGTCATTGGCCTTAGCAGGTTCTTGAACCAGGGCCCAAGGGGCATGGGAGGAAGCTGAGTATGGCAACAGGATGTAGGTTTGATTAGAGTAGGGAGAGGTGAGAGGCAGGAGAGCAGCCAGGAAGCTGCCTAGACACGGGTGTGCAGTGATAGGGGCCGGGCTGAGGTGGGGACATCAGGGGAAGGGGGGAGACTGGAGAAATGTGAGAAAGAACTAACAGTCACAATAGCAAGCATTTATCAGTCCCTTTCTTTGGGCCAGGCAGCGTGCCTAGCGTCTAATATGCAAAACTCACGGAAACTTCACCACCTCTGGAGATAAGTGAGATTCTTATCACAGAGAAATTAAGTGACTCCCTCAAGATTTCAGCTAGTGCCAGGCTGAACCAGGATTTGAACTCATGGGTCTGAGGACATGGCCTGCGTTCCTAAGCATTTCATTACATCCGTGATGCAAAGTGGTAGTTCCCAGTGGGTGTTGGAAAGAGGGGATGCATATGAGGACTAAGACAAAGGTGACTAACTCAGAAGCATCTCGTCTGGAGGATTCAGAAGGCTGGGAAGAGAAGAGAAGGAAAGGGAAGGTGTTTTGGGGGCAGAGGTTGTGACAGCCCCAGGGACTTGGGGATACAAGTAGAGCTGTCCTTTGGAGAAAGACTGACACTGAGGGCCTCCTGTGAGCCCAGCCCATCTCACTAATAGTCCTGTGAGGTGGGTGGGACCATCCTTTTACAGATGGGGAAATGGCAGTTCAACAAGGTCAAGCCCTTACTTGAGGTTGCACAGCTGGTAAGTGGTGGGGCCACAATTCAAACTCCAGGATTCAAAGTGTTTGCTTCCACATGTGCTTGGTGGATCCTAGGTTTTATCTGAAGCAAGGTACCTGATTTTCTTCGGCCCTGAAAAGTAAATTTTTTTTTGTGAGGAAAATCAGCCCTGAGCTAACATCCATGCTAATCCTCCTCTTTTTTTTTTTTTTTGCTGAGGAAGACTGGCTCTGAGTTAACATCTATTGCCAATCCTCCTCCTTTTTTTCCCCCCCAAAGCCCCAGTAGATAGTTGTATGTCATAGTTGCACAGCCTTCTAGTTGCTGTATGTGGGACGCGGCCCCAGCATGGCCAGAGAAGCGGTGCGTCGGTGTGCACCCAGGATCTGAACCCAGGCCGCCAGTAGCGGAGCGTGCGCACTTGACCGCTAAGCCACGGGGCTGGCCCTGAAAAGTAACTTTTAATTTTACTCTTCCTCTTTAAAAAAACGAAAACCTCTCATCCTGCTTTCAAACTTTGTTTACTTGCCTCCTGATGGATGTGACAAGTTTGTAATGAACTTTAGGACCTTAAGTCGGAAACTAGGGAGGGGCGGGAGGGGTTGAGGGCAGAGGAGAGGCCTCTGGGGTTGTCCTGTAGTTGGGGAGGTCACAGAGCAGAGGGCCAGGTCTCAGAGGGTGTCTCTGGGGTGATTACAGGCACCCGCTGCGACAGCCCTCCCCACCTGGCTCACTGCAGGGGCTTCGTGCCTTTCGTCCTTCCCCGCACAGCCGAGCCATCTCAGTCCTGTGAGATCCTCTCTGTTGGTCTTCATTTGTTTAATAAATGCTCCTGACCTTCCTAAGATTGCTCCGAGGAACCTCTGCAATCATCTTCATCCCTTCTCAAACATTTACTCAACATAAGACCACTTGACCTCTATTCTGTTTGTCCAGCTTGGGACCTTTGGACACATTTACCTAGCACAGGACATTTCGAGGCCTGCTTAGACAGTGGTTGTTTAATATTTGGCTAGCAGGCACCTCTAGGTGCTCACATGTAAAGTCTCTTATAATTCTGGTTAAGATTGGATCTGTATTAATAGTTGAAGTGGTAAAGCTTTGTGAGTTTTTCCCAAGGACGTTTTAATCCCCCTACCCAGCCCTAATTCTGGCTCTTGTATTTCTCACCTGAACTCTGTAGCAGCCTCCAAGAGGAACCTGTCTTCAGCCTCTTTCCCCTTCATTGCAGCTGCTCCACTCCCACCTGATTGGGCACTTGCCTGCTTAAAAATCTTCGTGAGTTCCCCAGTGTCTCCAAATCAAGCGTGCCCTTCTTGTTCTGCTTGGACCTCGTGGCCCTGCGTGACCTGGCCCACACGGCCCTGCAGCCCGTCCTCTGGTCTTGTTGCTGCAGCCCTTGCTCCATTCAGACCAGATCTTGCCGTTTCTTGAACGTAGCCTGTGCTTTCTAGCATTCACCTGTGCTCCTAAATTTTGACTTGGAGTGGCTTTGTCCCATCGCTGTGATGATATCCTGGTCATCCTTTGAGTGTACGACCTTAGAGACCCACTCCATAAAGCCGTCCTTACTTCTGCTCCCTCTTCCCTGTCCTCAGTTTCAGCCACCTGGGAGCGTCTTGATAACCTCTGCTAGAAGTCATCTCCCCCAGAACATTTGGATTCTTCTCTTTTGACTTTTTATCATATTCCATCTTGTTTTCTGTTTATATGAATACTTGTCTTATTTCTTCTAGGAACCTATAAAGTCCCAGAAGGCAAAGAACCTGTCCTTTTTCTTTTTCATTCTTTCTTCTTTTTTAATTCACTTAGTACCCAGCACAGTGTGCTGTACATAATGGGAACTCAATGAGTGTTGTTGGGATGAGTAAATGAATCCTTCCCGCCTTCCTGCAGGGATCGGAGGCTCATCTGCTCGGTCCGCAGGAGGCAGACAGCAAGCTTCTTCATTTCAGGCTCATCTGCCTTTCATTGAGAAAGCCTTGCTAAGCTTTTGTTTTTAAAACAAAATGGGGTCCAGCCCAAATTTGGGAGAGCATGGCCAGGATACCTGTGAATCTAGAGAGGGATGATGCATGCGACTCAGCTTATACCTGGCAGGTGCTCAGGCTGCTTAGTCCAGCACAGAGCACTTAGCCTGTGGGGTTTCTGTCCTTAGAAGCTCCATGTTAATCCTTTCTTTATATTCAGCAAATCCAGTGAATACTATCATATTTGTGCTGTTAATAAAAATATTTTTAAAAATAGGGAACATGTTTCTGAATATGGAGGTGTATGCCATTCCCCTTTCTCAAATATCAAAGGCTCCTGGACATCCTCACTACCTGGCCTGGTATCAGCTAGTAGGTGGCCTTTTTCACCTGGTACTGTCCAGGCAGACTGCAGGAACAGTGTGTGGAACTGACAGCATTTACTTGCACAGGACAAGCTTTGAGTTTGGAAACCTAGGATATGGCGAATCCATACTCCCAGGGAAGACATTTACCTGAAAGCCTGTCGAGCTGGGGAGCTGGTCATGCACATGTACATCAGTAAATAAATGACGGAGAAAAGGAAACTGTTGAGGGCTGGACTTGGACGCCTCGGTAGGGTATTACTAGTCCTGTGGAGACCATCTCTCCAATGATGGGGTCTTTTGGTTTAAATGAGATTGCCCCACACAGTTCATGCCTGGCAGCTGTGTTTTCAGCCTGTGTTTCACAGGCCCATTGAAAGATTGTTTATGAAATGCATTACTTACCTCTGTCACTTGTCATAAATTACCAATGTAAAAACCAGAGCACTTCCATTTTTTTCTTTCTAGTGATTTGGGGAATGACAACCCAGATTTTCCAGGACAATCTTGAATATACAATATTTGTCCTTGTAAATCATCAAGATGTCTCAAATTCCAATAGTTGGCAGCCAAACCATACCTCTCAGACTGTCTCATATCTGTAAGCAGCCTGGGACCTGGGGCCAGAAGTCATTTCTCAAGTTGTATGGCTCAATTTTTGGTTCAGAAAGTAGAGTCACTATAGAATTGAGACAGCTTGTCCCCGAACTGTTCTCTAATTGCCCTACCAGGTTCATCCTACTTTCTGTATGAGGTAAGCGGAAAAATACCTTAAGAGTCCGAGACCAGTGAGCTCGTGCCACGGCGGCCTGCCCCCGATAACCCCAGACCAGTGTGGTTGCAACAACAGAGTGAAAGGGGAAATGCTCCTCTCTTGACAGACACATTTCATCTCATAGAAGCCCCATCA